TCTCGCGTCCACAACCTTTTCAGACTTCTCGTGATGTTAGGCATATTAGTCTTCCTTACTAATTTATGTATCTGTATTAAAACGAGAATATTTTGTAATGAATTTTGTATTTTTGCTTATGTATGTAATGTAGTATGGAAACATACCGAAGCAAATAAATAATACATGAAAACAATTTATTCATTTAAATAAATTTATACAAATTATTTGCCACCTTTTTTTTTATTTTATTTTTTTTAGTAGGCCATATCTTCATTAATTCATCAAATCCAATGATTTTACCTTGTTTTTTTAAAATAATATTTTACATTTCAATTATATAGGAAAAATAGGCACGCCTCACCGATATGTAAAGAAAAAAATTATAAATAAAAAATACTTTTTCTGCACATAACTTAAAACGTATAAAATTTATTTAATTATACCCAGTTATTTGAATTGCTACTTAAAAAATTACCTAACGTCATCGAAATCAAGAAGATTTGTAACAAGGATATTATATTTATTTATTAAAACTGATGTTTTGGTTATTTGTTGTGAATGAACAATTCACCATTCATATTCATTCATTCATATATCTCATAATACATTGCAATTTGTTATTTCTTTATTATTTTGTTAAAACATTTCTTCCATTGTTTTTCAATAGATTTTTTTAATCAAATAATTTCGAACAAATATATACCGACGTCCCTATATACGAATTAAATTTATTCCAAATCGTTTACATTTTTTTTTTTTAATTTAATTTTAATGTATTTTCAAATTTTATAGGATACTCCCACAATTTACTATTTTAAAATTGTATAGGATACTTCGTACAAGACGTAAAATCCTACAAACGGCAACTCTACAATTCACCACACTTCTTTCATACACTAAGGGCGAATTTGATTTATTTTAAATTTATTTATTCATCCATATGTACTTAATCTAACATTGACAATGAATAGATTAGCTTTAAAAATCAGTAATAAAATAATAATGGCATGTAAATCAAGAGGCATGCTCTTATTGGCTATTGTCACTACTAGCTGATTATTATGTATTCGTTGATTATTATATATTATTATTATGTATTCCCTGACTGTAGGCTTATATGTCAAATTAATAAACGAAGTAAAAAACGAAAACACTAAGATTTATTTTGCATAATTAAAATATTTTTTAAATGCTTTATATATTATTGAAATACATTCTTCGGTAAAATACCGAATAAATATTTCAATATTTACAGAATAAATATTCCGCCGATTTTCTTTTTTAAAAAAAACTAAATTAATTCTTACCAAAATCGTCTTTATCAAATTTTTTATTTATTTATTTTTTTTTTAATAAAATGGTATAAATATAATTTTATTTTTATGTATTTTCAATTTTTATAGAGAGGTGTTTTGAGTTTTGCAAATAACATAATATATATGCTTATATGAACAATCATGTATTTTAATAATCATAATTATTTGTTTGAAATGAATATCATGAAGATGAATTTAAAATTTAAATATCGCGAAACCTAAACTCAAATGGGATGAATTGAATAATAAACAAGTAAAATTTTAATGTCGAGCCTTATAAAAAAAAATTTAATATCAAATTTACTGCAATAAATAGAAATGATTAATGATTAATTTATTCAACATAAAATCTAAGTTATAATGTGACTTATTTATATAAACATCGCTACTTTTCTAACCCAACAGTGTCAAAATTACTAATAAAATAATAATGGCATGTTAGGCATCATGAAGAAAAATACCCAGCGGTGTCAGAAAAGTAAAAAAATAAATTTATGGTCTCTCATCCAGGACCTTTTCAGTATGATATTGTCAGGTATATTATTAATAATTATTCTTATTGTTATGTCCTACTAACTTGTCAAATCTTTTGTAGTGATGTATTCGCTCGCTGTTGGCATATGTATGTCAAAAACAAAACAAATAATAATTATTAAACAAAAGCATTATGATTTAATTAAATAAACTGAATTAAAATATTTCTTAAATGCTTTTTAAATGGAATATTTTCTATGGTAAAATGTCGAACAAGTATCCGACCACTTTATCATGTATTATGTAAGTGCCAAATATACAATAGTTTGAGAGTAATAATTCGCCATGCTATGGGTAATCTTACTGAGACGGGAATTTTTAAGCCAACCACTATAGAATATATGAGAATATTATATATTTTTATTTCTAATATATCTAATTATATAGAATTTCAAGAGTAATCTAAAATATTGTACTCTGAGTATAAAAATGTAATATGATCAGGTATAGTTTTATATGTTTATGTGAATAATCAGTTAATTTACTTTTAAAATATGGTTTAATATTGATATTTAAAAAATACATATTTATTATGTTTTTAATGTGTTCTCTTCACAAATTTTAGATTTTATATTAATGTTAATAATTGTCATTATTTTAACTTTGATTTTTGTAATATTTATAATGTGGCATAAAATGAGGGAAAAATATTGTTATATCATTTAGGTAATAATATTTATAAGCTCTGTTTATATAGGCTCTATTTGTATCGGTTACTTCCCTCAATACAAATAAATATTTAAAATATAAATATATATCCACCGATCTTCATAAAATTTAGTTAATTCTTAAAATCATGTACATATAAATTTTTATTTTTGAAAACTTCTTTAGGCTTAAGAACTTTTTTTGTGAGTAGTGAATGAGACTGAGCTATCAAGCTCGGCTATTTAACACGCATTCGGGTAAAGTCGGCTCAAGTCGACAAATGGAAGTGAATTCGTCTTTTTATCCATCTGGATTAAAATATCTCAGAAACTAAAAATCGGACCTCCATATTGTTAGTGAGGGATATGTTGATCATTTCATCCTCTTTGTAATGAGCTATTATTCAATATTGTATCTTGACGTGACGATAAGTTAGAGATTCGGAAAGATAAAAAGATAGCGCCCAAAAAAAATAAAATATTGACTGTTTTAAAGATTTGGAATAAAATATCATAAAATTTAAATACCATAGAGAATCCAAAAATCTGTTTGCAGATGTCAATATTGTTTTTAATCAGCCATGAAAATAAGAAATTAAGTGTTTCTATTCTATTTGCTGTTGTACTTAATAATGTTTCGAAAAATTAGTAAACCCAGTTTCAGATGTTGAAGTCTCATTGTATACGAATGTATAAATATTTAAATATTTACTGTCAGTATGATTAGTTTAGAGTATAATACAAATGACGATCAGTCAGAGCGAAGTATGATACAGTAATTTATACACAATTGTAAATATTATTATTTTGTTTATATTTCATATGTTTGGGTGGATAAAAAGGTTTTATAATTATTTTCAGATGGCTTTCGTAGAGAAAAAATTTAATATTTTTTAAAATGAAAACTTTCTTAGGCAGGTTTATTTTTTGTGGAGAGTGGATTACATTAAGCCGTCAGATCTCCAATATATAACGCTCGGGTAAACTCGGCTAAAGTGTATTAATTTAAGTATTTTTCCATATGGATATCTCGAAAAATAAAAATCGGACCTGTATACTGTAAGCAAGGGAGATATTCAGAATTTCATCCTCTCTGTAATGGGATATTATTCAAAATTGTATCTTAACGCGACGCCGTGTTAGAGAAGCGAAAAGGGAAAAAAATTGTGTCAAAAACAAATGATAACGAGTTTTTTTAAAGATATGTATTAAAATATCTCAGAAACTAAAAATCGGACATGTATACTGTAAGTAAGGGAAATGTTCAGCATTTCATACTCTTTATAATGAGCTATTATTCAAAATTGTATCTTAACGAGATGCCGTGTTAGAGAGGCGATAAAGGAAAAAATAATTTCTAAAAGCAAATGAGTTTTATGGAAGATATGGAATAAAACATCTTAGAAACTAAAAATCGGACCTGTATACTGTAAGAGAGGGAAATGTTCAGCATTTCATCCTCTTTGTAATGAAGTATTACTCAAAATTGTATCTTAACGTGACGCCGTGTTAGAGAGGCGAAAAGAGACCAAATGAGAACGAGTTTTATTGGAGATTTGTATTAAAAATCTCAGAAACTAAAAATCGGACCTGCATACTGTAAGCGAGGGAATTGTTCAATATTTCATCCTCTTTGTAATGAGCTATTATTCAAAATTGTATCTTAACCCTACGCCGTGTTAGATAGGCGAAAAAGTAAAAAATAATGTCGAAAACTAAATGAGAACGAGTTTTATTGAAGATATGTATTAAAATATCTCAGAAACAAAAAATCGGACCTGCATACTGTAAGTGAGAGAATTGTTCTGTATTCCATCCTCTTTATTATGATCTATTATTAAAAATTGTATCTTAACGCGACGCCGTGTTAGAGAGGCGAAAAGGGAAAAAAATGTGTCGAAAACTAAATGATAACGAGTTTTTTTTGAAGATATGTATTAAAATATCTCAGAAACTAAAAGTCGTACCTGTACACTCTAAGCAAGGATATTATTTATCATTTCATCTTCTTTATAATGATCTATTATTCAAAATTGTATCTTAACGCGACGCCGTGTTAGAGAAGCGAAAAGAGAAAAAAATGTGTCGAAAACTAAATGATAACGAGTTTTATTGAAGATATGTTTTAATAAAAAACTAAAAGTCAGATCTGTATACTGTAAGCGAGGTAAATTTTCAACATTTCATCCTCTTTGTAATGAGCTATTATTCAAAATTGTATCTTAACGCGACGCCGTGTTAGAGAAAAAAAATGTGTCGAAAACTAAATGATAACGAGTTTTATTGAACATGTGTTTCAATAAGAAACTAAAAGTCGGACCTGTATACTGTATGAGAGGGTATTACTCAGCATTTGATCCTCTTTGTAATGAACTATTATTTATAATTTATATGTTATATTATTAATCTGCCTTGTTGATGTTTTCATTTCTATCGTGTGGTCTAAAGCATACACTTTATTTTTATTTTTTTTTATTTTATTTATTTTTTTTTTTAATGTTTCCTTTATATTGTTGTTAAATTATGAGTTACCTGTGACAGCGGCTACGTCCTTGACCGACTTGGGCCTCCGAGCCATGATGGCCTCGATGGAGAAGTCCGTCGCGGGAGCGGTGGGCCGAAGCGGCAAGCTCTCCTCGTCCATTCCTCCCTAGCCGAACATGAGGACTACCCTCGGGGGGCGCGGGGTGGGGAGCGCTGACAGGCACAATACCCTCCGGGGTGGGGGGTGGCCACCAGATTCATCTGAGGCTGTGATAGCGAGGGGCGTGGCCGGCCACGCCTCCCGCTCCGCCCACCCCATCCCCACTCCTCCCTCGCCCCGCCCACCAAGCCACGCCTCCTTCCCCTCTCTTAAGGAGAGAGAGAGAGAGAGAGAGAGAAACGGAGAAAACAAGAATCAGGAGCTGAGGTTCAAAGAGCAGCCTTCATCATTACTTACCCCCCCGTCAACTCTCTTGCTACTCACCCTTTCCGCTCCTCGATCAACCCCTCCTTACCGGTCTCAACTTCCCTTATTATTATACTCTGAATAACAGGACCCAATTAAATCTTATTCCAGTTATTAACGTTACTTTTCATTACTTGTCTTTCGGATGAATGGACGAATTTTTTTCAAGTACGTTTTATTTATTTACTTTAGCACTTTAACCCAGCACTACTATTAACTTCACTTCAATAATCGATTTTTATTTTATATCTCCATTTATTCTTTATATTTGTGGGTAAGTGGTTGACTGTCGTGAATAATGGAGAGAAGAATAGTTGGGGTTATTAGTCAAATAAGAAGGAAAATAAAATAACATATGTCTATTATAGGCCATAGGTCACCAAAAAACAAAACAGTATTTTTATATATTACATGTATGTTTATTCCAACGTTTCGGCTTCAGGAGCCATCTTCAAGAACCTGCAAACTAAATTTTAATTTACTTTTTACCATTCAAGTATATCCTCAGACAATAAACTCATCATATATTTTGTATCATTTACCTACCATGCACCGCGCCATAAAATTTTTAAAATTTGTCATTACGATATGACTCGTCCTAATTCATTCTTTTATTTCAAAGAATGTCGTTTTGCGTTTCTAAAAATTATAATATATAATTATAAATTAAAAATAGACTGCTATAATTAATTTTTAATTTTTAATTTTCGATTTATATACCTCTATTTGCAGACGGTATCAAGAAAGTATTGTTCTTCAATAGGGCATTCATACAGGACTGGATTTACTTACATAAGGAGTGGGGTGGAGGGGTTAGTGATCAGCTGTTTTATATCAGTACGCTATATTTTAATTTTGTCAATCGTGCTAGCATAAAACGTGTTTAAATTATCAACGTCTGTCTGTTGATTCACTGAATGTTTTAGATTTTTAGTGATAAAAATAGATTCAATGATTCTACGTTTCCCAATATTTTGTTCTCTATGGAACACGGAAGCAGTACCGAAATCAAATTTATATCCATTTTTTTGTGGTATGCTGCGATAATCCTGTGGCTAATTTTGATTTTGTCGTTTTAGACCTGCAATTTTGTCTATGTTGCTGTATCCTACGGTCAAACCATTGTGAGGTTTGTCCGTAATATGCTTTATTTTCACAATCCTCGCATCATATTTTATAAACAATATTAGTTAGTTTTTCTTTTGGAATTATATCCTTAGTTCTACTATATAAATGGCTCCTGAAGCCGAAACGTTGGAATAAACATACATGTAATATATAAAAAAACTGTGTTTTTTTGGTGACCTATGGCCTATAATAGACATATGTTAGATTATGAGAAAATGGCACCAAACCCGAAGGATGGGGTTAGGAAAATAAATGATAATATTTATTCTGACATTTGCCGACGATTCGACCAGAAGTTCAGGGCTTCGTCAGGACTGTGATCAATCATGATGATTTTTCTCCGCTACACTTTTGGAGACAGTCCTGATGAAGGCCTGAACTTCAGGTCGAAACGTCGGCAAATGTCAAAATAAATATTATCATTTATTTTTCCTTCTTATTCGACTGATCACCCCAACTATTATTCTCTTCATTATTCTTTATGTTTTATTTCTTCTCTTGTATCCATGTTAAGCGTAAGGGGACGATTATTATTTTTTATTTATATTTTTACGAAAGCTCCGAGATACTTGGAATAGACGAGTCTTGGTTTCGGTCTTGCGCAAGAGTCTTGCAGTTACCTACAGCTTATTACTATAAAGATATTACTGTAATTTTTTAGATAGGAGAAACCTAACTAAGCCCGAACGAAAAATTAGAGGAATTAACTGCATAAGAAAATTTATTATACCAATTCTTTACTTATCGTAACTAAAATTGTTAAATATTAGTAACTATTTTGCATTAATTTTTATTCAAAAATCGATTGTTTGTTTATCAGTCTTGGTGTTGTGACTAATTCTGGCCAAAATCGGTCTTGGTCTTGCACTTGGCAAAACCACTTCAGTGTGGCAAGACCAAGACTGACAAACAAAAAATTGATTTTAAATAAAAATTAATGCAAAATAGTAATATTTGACAATGTTACTATATGTAAAGAATTGGTATAATCAATTTTTTATGCATTTAATTACTCTAATTTTTCGTTCTGGCTAAGTTAGGTTTCTCCTATCTAAAAAATAACAATAATATCTATTTAGTAATAAGCTGGTACGTAACTGCAATACTATTACGATACTCTAGCGCAAGACCAAAACCAAGACTCGTCTTTTGCAAAAACTTCTTATTTTTGTTGGGGGGAGGTAGAGAGAACATTGGATCCCACCAAAAAAAAGTATCAGGTATATTGTAAAAAAACTATATATTTATATTGTTTGCAAAAATTAGGAGTGATAATAACAATAATTACTATAAAATAAACAATAGAATGCTATATATAAAAATAAATTTATTAATATATTTATGTGTAGTAAAATATATTTATAATGATGTAGAGATGGTTGACCGTGATATGATATGAGGAGTTGATCTGGGGGTGCGACCGAATAAATACTAAATTATAGAAATAGTATTTAATTATTATGCCGACGTTTCGACCCACCTTGCAGGTCTTCATCAGGGCTACAAAATATAAAAAGTGCATGATGAATTATAAGTAGATATTCAATAAGAAAAAGTTGTCTGATAAAGAAATAATAAGATGATATCTGAGATAGATGGGTGACACTGTAGTTAAAATATCAAGTTATATATATAGAAGATACAAACAAAAATAGAAAATCAGTATGAGAGGAGTTGATCGGGGGGTGCGGTCACTTATTTTTTATTTTTGTTTGTATCTTCTATATATATATATATATATATATATATATATATATATATATATATAATACTTGATATATATAATACTAACTATATTGTCACCCTCTGTATCTCTGATATAATTTTTTTATTTCTTTATCAGACAACTTTTTCTTATTTAATATCTACTTATAATTCATTTACTTTATTTTCACCATGCACCTTTTATATTTAGTACCCCTGATGAAGACCTGCAAGGTTGGTTGAAACGTCGGCATAATAATTAAATAATACTATTTTTATAATTTTGTATTTATTTGACCGCATCCCCCGGTGTCAACTCATTCTCAAAATATATTTATATGTTTTTTTTAGCGTACAGATAGGCATATTTGAAAATATGTTAACAAAGCAACTGAATATATTATATATTTTAAATTTTATTTAAAAGTTTGAGGCAGTGAGATGAACTCTAATTTCTCCGATGCTTCAAATTTACAGCGGGAAATTTGATAAAATCATCAAGTAAAAATGGAATAGGGCACATGAATGAACCATAAAATGCTAGTATATGTTGCTATATATAATTAATATCTTTAAATATATAATTTTTTTATTTGTTTATTTAGAAATATTACATTCTGTCACATCAAGGACATTTATAATAGTGTTCAGAGAAAGCACACTCACACTCTATTTACAATAAAAAAATAAAATAAAATAATACAGAATATATAATAAAATTAATCTAATAGGAACATTGGGGCGTGGTAAAATACTAGCTACTTCTAGGTCTCAGCTTAGCCATCCATTTTCCCTAATTTTCTAATTGATTTTAGTTTAAATATTTTATTCATTCATATATATTAACTGTTGATTGATTTTGACATTAATTTTTTCTTCGAAATATTCGGCAAGGAATATTCTCTCGTCCCCTTCCTATTTTTATTGGGAAACTATCCCCTCCCACGCAAGTCTGCACTTATTGTCTCGATAATTCGAATCCCTAGTAATCGTGAAACCCCTGGGAAGTTGAAAAAGAAAGAAAAAACAGTTTAAGTTGACTTACGAGAAACATAATATAAATGGCTCTGTTTCTTAATACATATTACAGGAATGGCTTCGTGCGGTAGTGTCAAAATTAGTGTTGCCCAAATGCGAGACCGAGACGGGTCTTGGTCTTGCAAACTCAGTCCTAGTCTTGGGTCTTGCGCAAGAGTCTCGCAACAGTCTTGCAGTTACTTATTAGTTTATTGCTATAGAGATATTACCATAATTTTTTAGATAGGATAAACCTAACTAAGCTCGAATGAAAAATTAGATTGGTTATACCAGTTATTAACATATAGTAACAACTAAAGACTATCGAGTATTAGTAACTATTTTGTCTTAATTTTTATTTTAAAAATCGATTTTTTTACCAGTCCTGATCTTGGTCTTGCAACAGGCGGGCTTGCTCTTGCACGACCAAGACCGATTTTGGACTACACTGGTCAAAATCGTATTGTGGTGTATCTAAACGGAAACTAGGTGGTAATCCAGAACTTGAGATATATTTTGTATGTGATATTTACAATAGAGGTCACGAGGGTGTCCAATTTCAGGGGATAAATTAGATGAAAAGCCAAAATATTTCTTTAAAAAAAAAATTAAGAATGGCAAAACAAATTTAAATTCTAATAAAAGTTGGTTTGCTAATTTCAAAACCAGTTGTGGAATACGTTTTTTTTTTATTTTAATTTTTATATCACTGGAAAAAAAAATTTAAACCTCAGCTACAGATATAACCCTATCCACTCTAAGGAGATGTATTTGTTTATGTACTTAAACACTATGGTAGATTGTAAAATAAATTGACTTACAAGAATATTCAAACTTGGTATAGTAATCGGGTTCCTATTATATCCCTAACAAAACTAAATATTTTTCAGATGTTGGCATGTATTGGTAGATGAGACGAAATATACTTTGCAGAACCGTAATGTGTGGAGGGAAATTCCCGAATAATTAATAATAATAATAATAATAATTAATACTAATAAAGT